GTGTGTGTGTGTGTGTGTGTGTGTGTGTGTGTGTGTGTGTGTGTGTGTGTGTCATCTTGCTGTTTCCATTACTGTTGGCTTGATTAGCAGGCTGTGGTTCTCAGAGCCCGCTCCCCTCCACACACCCCTTTTAATTAGCCTTTCCTCGCTGTCWTTGTCACAGACAGAGGGCTCATTAATCACAGCGCAGATACAACTCCTCCTGTTTTATCACCGCTTGCATCAGCAGAGCCACAGAGGACACGGCCTGCATGATGACAGCGCTGCAGAGGATCAGGTCCATCAGATAAGTTCAGTCCTCCTGATCCACCGACCAGCTGGGAGAGCCCAGCACAGCTGTGGTTTTTCTTCATGGCAGAAAATGTATAAATGCATCAACCCATTCCCATTCCTTTTCAAATATGTTAATTTTGTCATTACTTTTTATCATTTTTTGTTTTGTTTTGTATATGWGTTTGAAATAAACTATAACTAAATTATTAAATGAAGATATCATTCCTTGATAGGGTGCATATACTGTACAGTATATCACATTTTTATGCCACAGTTTTAAACTGAGATCGTCTGATCCTGATGAAACCTTGTAAATGTTATAGTTCAGCCCATCCATCCATCTTCTGCTTGTTTTGAAGTCAGACCAGGGCAGCATCTTGAGCAGGGGGAGGAGCCACAGTTGGACTTGCTGCTCAGAAAACAGTGTTTAAAAGCTGGGATTTTCAAKTTAGCAATTAGCTAAAAATCTGTAAAATCCCGCTGTAAATACTGTGTGTTTTATCACTTTTAATAACTTTGCTTTGCTGGTTGCACTCCGTACACAACAAAATGCATSTAACGGATTAAAAAAAGTGGATTTTGCATGATTTGTCCAATTAAAGTTATCCATCATGGTTTGGGCAGTGAGGGAAAAGCTTTGTAAAAATTAATCTTTGAAGCACAAACTGACAAAATATTTTTGTTCTGAATGTTGATTGTCTCCCAACATGCTATTGTCTAATTCAAGAAAGATACTGACTACTCACAACTACTCTGCACAACCACACTCCAAAAAAAAAAAAACCCTCAAAGTACAACTTTAAAAAATAAGGCAACGACAGTGGCTTTCTTCCTGTTCTTATTTTGGGTTGTGGGAAGCTAGCAGTCGTACAAAAAGTCCTTCCATCCATCTTTTATCTTTAACCGCTTCTTTCTGTCCAGGTCAGCGGGATCACTGAGGCTCACGAGCAGCAGTCTATCATTTCTGCTGAAGAGACGTGAGCATCAGCAGAGACAGAGCTCCAGGTTCCAGTTATTAATGGATATTTTGGCACAATCAACAGTCCCTCCCTCTGCTGCATGAATTAGACACACCGTGAGTAAACATGAGAAACAGCCTCTGGAGGTGTGTGTGTTTCCTCTCCCCTCAAATGTTCCACCGTTCAGTTTGTGGACAGACAGAGTGGTTTCCCACTCCTAACAGCCAGCGTTTACCTTTAACCACACAGAATCCATGTTCACATGGTCTGACTGACACTAACAGGCTGTAATTGTGATCATTACTTTAAGACAGAACTGGACTTCCTCACGGTGGTCGAAGCAAACAGAAATCTTTTGTTGAAAGTGTCAGGTCCTGTTAGTCTGACAGACTGAGATGAAAAAAGAAATAATCCATCAGGAGCAAACAGACCAAATGTTTTTATAAAACGTGCAACGAGAGGAGCCATCAGACACTTGGTGGTGGGAGAATTTAAAGTCCAGAAGCCAAGGTGAAATATTTGTGTGCAAATGCAACCAAAAACACYTAGTTTTTATTTCTTTATTACATTAGAAAGAATAGATAACCTCCTGAGAGCCGAGGAACAAATCTGAGTGTTTGGAGGTCATCAGGCTGTCAGCTGCTGGTGAGATGAAGAAGTTCTGCAGGGGAGCCTTCAGAACCATCAACACCAGACTTAGTGTTGGCCGAGCCGCTGGACGCTGGAGGCCAAACGGAGTCTCCATTAGGAGCCGAAAGGAAAAACAGGCGCGTCGGCCAAAGGTTTGAWGTTGTTCTGTCTCTCTAACCGGGTTCTGGCAGCAGAGGGCGGTCGGGAAAATTCAGTCCAGAATCAACAGGCTCTGAACAGGACCTTTTCAGAGATGCCAGATATAAAAACATTAAAGTTTCTGCTAAAGTCTTGAATGATCAAATGTGAGCCACAAAGAAAATCTGAGTCATTCAGCTTTGCTTTACTTGAAAGACTTTGATTTGAGATGGAACACCTCGACATTTTATCACTTTGAGCTTTTTCTAAGAAATCATCGACTTGTTTCTGCCTCTGGGCTGAAGACGAATCGAATTCATCTTATGTTTTAGCCACAACTAAACAGGACATTACAGCAGCTTTTAGCATTTAGCTACTTTTAGCCTTTTACTGATTTAACTTGCCTTGCAATTTTGCTTTTAGCTAATGACTTTTAGCTCATCTTTTGTAGCATTTAACTTGCCTTTAGCTACTTTTAGCTACTTTAAGAATTTAGCTATCTTTCTGATACTTTTAGCTTTAACCTAAACTTTTGCTAKTTTTAGTTTGTAGCTAGTGCTCTGCTTAGTTAAACTCTAAAAACTATTTTTAGCTAATTTGTGAAATTTTATCAAGATTATTTAAACTGTCTTAGCTGATCCTCAACTTGTTATCTAAGAAACAAACATTTTGTTTTCCCATGGTTTGACTCCTTAAACATTTATTTTATATGAAACCATAAACTCTAAAGACCGATTGATGAATTTGCAGTTTATTTTCCTTCAGCATGTGTTGATCTGTGATYATAAACCTGTTTTTTAAAGACTTCCTCCGGGCATCTTTAAACCGAACCAGTTTGTCTCTGAGCCAGAACTCCTCCTCTGCTAATTCCACGTCTCATTTCCAAACCAGAACCTGCAGCCGACTGCTGGTTTCCAGTAAAATTAAAGCCAAACACGAGCACCTGTTAGTCTGCAGAACAAAAAGCATTAAGAGCTTTTATTTAGAACACGGAGATGTTTCCTGAGATGCAGCTGCAGAAACATCTGGATGGCCCTTCTTGTTTTACCTAAATGTTTCCWCAAGCTTATTAAATGAAAAGTGAACATTTTAAACGATTGTTCCTGTTCGTTCTGACTCGTAAAGTTTCAGAAACAGTGTTAGTCTGGTCTGCCATCAGCAACTTGTGTAAATTAAAACGTATGAATTTGGAATCACTGGAAATAATTTTAAAGCTCTTTCAAGTGAAATAAGTAAACTTTATTTATATTGCACCTTTCACAAACACAAACATCACAAAGTGCTTAACAGAGAGCAAAAATAACTAAATTATTTTAAATTAATTATTTTAAAATAAATCTTGTGTAAATTTTATTGGAACTGGGGGTCCAGAACTGAACAACACAGGGCAAACATAAAAATAAATATTAATGAGTACTGTTAGATTTAGCAGCCCACTTACTTTCAGTCAGGCCCAATTCTTTTTCTGCAGCTGCATTAAATCTGTCTGTTAGCAAAATATCTCACGAACAACTGGACAGATTTTAAKGAAGCTCTCAGAAAAGAATAACAGGAAATTTGTTCGGACCCGAATAAATTTTGAAGTCATCATTCTGCACAAAATTGGTAATAACTCAGTCAATTTTACAGATATTGAGCTACATTTGATGTAACATTAGTGTTAGTGTCTTATCTAAAGATTTGTTAACAAGAAAAAAAAATAAAATGACTGAAGTTGCAGCAACAGTTTACAAAGAAAAAAATGTGGGAATTTAGAGAAGAACTGGACATGGCACAGAGCACACAATGCTACACAAATGTTGAGTGAAAACTGGATGACTTTGTGGACATTCTCCTCAGAATATTAAATATTCTGACGTATAAAGTTCCAGATATTCCAGTCATGTATTCAGATCCTGAAACTGACCACCTCCCAGCGTGCTGCTGCTCCAGGAGGCGCTGGGTCCTGCTGGGTCCTGCTGGGTCCTGCTGGGTCCTGCTGGGTCCTGCTGGGTCCTGCTGGGTCCTGCTGGGTCCTGCTGGGTCCTGCTGGGTCCTGCTGGTTCCTGCTGGACAGCTGATAGTCCAGAGGTTATTTTCAGCGCATTAAGCACATAAAATAAGATGCAGGCGTGAAACTAAATCTTTGAATCGATCCAGGAGCCAAAAAGAAAGATTCGATGTCACAAACTGAGCTACAGAACGTGAACCGTTCGATGGATCAACTTTGGGACACAATGTTTTACCCCTGATGTGAGGATCTGAGCTGAAATAAACCAGGACTCATCGTTTTTTAAGATCTGAGGGGGTGTCAGTGAAACACATGAGGTGAGTAACAGTGTAACTCACCGCCTGAGCTGTAAACAAACCACAGACAACATGAGAGGCCCACACACACACACACACACACACACACACACACACACACACACACACACACACACACACACACACACACACACACACACACA